TTAAGAAGCGCCTTCCCGCGGTTTATCCCGCTCGACCGACCGCGGTGGCCGAACCGGGGAGACAGGTCCGGGCGAAGGCAGCCGTCTGCGGAGAGCGCTCGCGGGAGGAGGAACCGGGTGGGTCTCCCCTCCCCGGCTCTGGCCCGCGGGAAGCGCGGCGGCCACCGGGCGGGAGCGGAGCCGTGCTTCCCAGCGAGCCCAGAAGCGGGCTGAGCGAGCGGAGGGCGGCAGCGCAGGGGGAGGCCCGTCCCCGCCCTGCGGCACCCGCCCGCCCGCTCGCCCGAGCTGGCACGGAGGAGCGGCCCGGGGGCACCGCTGCCCAGGGCCGCACAGGTCAGACGCTCAGGTGTGAGGCCGCGCGTCTCCGCCGCAGAGCCCGCTGAAATCCACACTGCTGATGCCCCGGGTTCACGGCCCCGCCAGCGCTCACGGGAGGAAGCCAGGACGTCTTGGATAATTGGAGGAACTTCATAGCCAAGCATAGTTTGAGAAGAATCCATGAGGTGTTTTGCGGCCCTGGGGATACAAGTTAGGGCGTGTGTGGTGGGTAAGCGCTTCACCATGAAGTCCCATCCTCAGCCCGCCAGGCAGAAGTTCTGTCCCCATTTTGCAGATGAGGCAGTTGAGGCTCAGAAAGGTCACATGACTTGCCTAAGGTCACATCACCAATAGGTATGTGGAGGAGCACAGACTGTGACTCAGAGGTGTCAGAACCCGAGCTTTGGTGAAGATACAGGACCTCTCCTCATTTTAAAACAGAGGTAACTTCCTGCTCTCTAGCGCCCCGCGGGAGGCTGAGGGGCCCTCAGGACCTCCGGCAGCCCCGTGTGAGGCCCTACCCGTGTTTCCTCCGCCCTCCAACACCTTTCGGGCCTGGAACGGAGACCCCTCTGCCCCCACTCCGACCCATGCCGCCCCAGTTCCCTTCCATGAAATTCACTTTTAAAAAGAGGCTTAAAAAGATTTATTAGTCAGAACTTTAAAGGTACACACTCAGAGAAATAGAGTGCAGGCCCCTCGGAGGGTGAGGCACACTATAGTTTGAAGCTGGAAATATTTATGTGTTTTTGGCAGTGGAAAACTGTGGAATTTGTGAATCTACAGGAAGTTATGTCTTGGATAAAGAATGACCAACCCGCAGAGAGATCACGGCCCGTTTAAGGAAAAAGGCAGGGCCCGTCTTTTTTTTAAGAGGGGTGGTCTAAGATATTTTGCCTAAAAACAGTCTTTGAACTCTCTCAGGCTCTTCCTTTGCTTAAGAGCAGGCCTTTGCTCTTCACCTTATCAGCTAAGCTAATTCATGGACTTAGAGTACCTCTAAGGGGTTTCTAGGGTGCTGGGCCTGGAGGAAAAGAGGCATGATCAACCCTCGGGAACGCAGATCACGTGGGTAACTGTGTATCCTTCCGGGGGGTCTTCTTCAAAGTACAAGGTGTAAATTATGATTTTCCTGGTCTCCCTCTTGCCTTCCTTATTTCTTCTCTTTTTCTCATCTCTCCCACCGAGGCCTTGATCCCTTATTCTTAAGGAAAGCAGCGGGACTGAGGTCTGTCCTCCTAGGACGCCTTCAGGCTGAGGAGGGGCATGGATCCTGCCAGGCCAGGGTCAGAAGTCTCCCCCAGCCCACGCCACCCCGACGGATCCGAAGGAGAGGAAGGAAGATGGGCTTTGTTGCTGGATGAGCCCTCATCCCTTAGTAACCGCAGCTGTAGTCCCGGTGCCTCTTTACCTCCTCCTGCTGGAGAAGTCATAACCAAAGGAAAAGTCACCGCACAGGCTCCGGCTGGAGGGTCCTCTTCGGAGGTCCCCAAAACAGAGATGCCAACCCCGACTCACTCCACCCGCAGGGCGGGGTGCAGAGTCGCTGACTTCCACCGCAGAAAAGGAATTTTCAGGACGGGTCAGTAGGAGGCGTAAAGGGATTTATCCGGAAGAGAGGCCCTTCACGAGGTTCAGTGGCGTAGACACTGACGGCCGCTCTCCAGCCCGCCCCCATGAAGTCGCCAGAGTTTGTAGCAGTGGGAAGAAAATGACTTGAGATGCAGGTGTGCGTGGAGGGTGGCGGTGATCGCAGCGGTGTCCGTGCCTCGGCTTGGGAAGCCCTGCCTGCCAGACGGGAGCTGGGTGAGGTGGGAGGCCGAGGTGGCAGAGCTGGGCAGAGACCCCACGCTGGGGAGAGGCCAGAGTCGCCCGGGGCCAGCTCCGGGCCAGTGCCTCTTTGTCTGAGTCCTCCCATCAAGTCTGTGTCCGAGGTCTCGGGGACCAGGGTCGGGAGATCTGAATGGGACATGTGCGGAGCACTGGGTGTCCGGGTGCACAGCGAGACACCCACACGCTGCTGAAGCTTCATGGCCACACAGCGGCACCTGCGAAGCGTCACTGCAGCGGCGGGACGGGGGCCCTGGCATCGTCACTGGCCAACATGAGATGCAGGCATCGTGACGTACTTCACGCGCCGTATCAGTGAGGGCAGAGTAATGCCTCCAGGGACATTCAGACGGGCGCCTCTCACCTGCCGCTTGATTGCAGGGTGATACTGGGTTTTCACAGGCCCCGGGCTTCCTCACCCCTGGGTGCTTTCTACCATAAAACCACGATGTCTTATTAATATACTGGAACAGAGAAAATGTATTCCTGTTATGTACACATGCTGCTGCATCTGAAAGTGTCCCCTGTCCCGCGACTTTAGAACAAGTAGATTGCCCCGGTCCCAGGCACCCTGTCTGCCCTGCCCGTTGGTTCTGTGGTGTCTGCCTGCGCCGAATACCTGGGGAGTTTTAAAAGTAGCTTTCTTGGGGTCTCACTAGGCCAGTTCAACCCAAATCTCTGGGGTGGGGGCCAGGTATTCTACTTTTCACTTCTTTTTAAAGTTCTCTTGGTGATTCTGATGTGCAGCCAGAATTGTGCCCCTGGCTGTAACAGTATTTTCCAGTCGGGGCCTTAAGCTTTCCATAGCAAATCCTCTCACTGCTTTTCCCCGCTCCCCGTCCTTCGAACCTGGAGAGAGCCCATTGTTGTGCGGGTCCATTTTCCAAGCACAGAACCGAGTGCATTTCCCACCAGAGGAAATCCACGCTGCGCTGGCTCCTCGCCACCTTGCAAGCTCTGTTCCTTGCCAGTTGTGTCCAGGGTGACCCGAAGGTGGGAGGTAAGAAAGGGATCTCGCTGCTGCAGTGTCCAGAGCTATGGGGCCGGGAGGCCTCTAGGCCTAGACCACAAGTGTGGGGAGTGTGGGGCTGAAGTGTAGGGTCTGGTTGAGGGACAAGAAGATGTTCTTGTAGGTAGTGGGAGAGGTAGCTGAGAACTTCATGGAGGTGAAAAAACCATTCAAACGAGGGAGAGGGAGACTGCTGTGCGGCTGAGTGCCGAGAGGAACTGGTGAGCACCTCCACAGCTGGTCCTTCTGGGTGAGGCCTCCACCCCCGCAGTCCACCCTCCCTGTCTGCACACTTCCCTTCTCCCGACCCGGATGTTTGGTGCCCACTTTGCAGCATTCTAGCACATACTTAAGCCCAGGGGACGGTGGAACTCTGCACACCACACTGTAAGAAGGGAGCGTGGCCTGTCGTTGTAGGTGTCAACATTGCTCTAAACATGTAGAGAAGTTTGGGTTTTTTTTTGTTTTGTTTTTTTTTTGGTCTTTTTCCGGTACCAGGAATCGAACTCACAACCTCACGCTTGCCAGGCAGGCGCTGTGCCACTGAGCTAAATCCCCAGCCCCATAAACATATAGAGAAGCGACAGGTAACTCCCACACGCACAGTACAACTTATGGTTGAGGCCTTAATGTTCACACTTAATACCAGAAAAAGGCCCATGGACTCAGCAGTAAGACTCACACTTCTCAGAATTACGACTTCCTTGGTGTATATAACACTAGTAGAACATTTTTAGGAAGGAAACAGTAAGGGAGCCCTGTGGACCACACAGCAGCGATCTTAATTACACACCTGTCCAAAAGGGAGGCCACAACAGGAAGAGCGTCCTTCAGTGAGCTTAGGGAGCTATAAAATAGTTACCTTGGGGCTGGGGATTTAGCTCAGCGGCAAAGCACCTGCCTGGCAAGCGCAAGGTGGTGAGTTCGGTTCCCGGTACCGGAGAAAAACCAAAAAATTTAAAAATAAAAATAAAATAGTTACCTTCTTACGAACTTTGGCTTTTGTATGCC